CTCCCTTAATTCTTTTTTTTTTTTTGAGACAGGGTCTCCCTGTAGCCCCAGCTGGCCTGGAACTTGAGCTCACAGAGATCTGGCCTGCCTCTACCTCTCAGGTGCTGGGATTAAAGGCATGTGCCATCATGGCTGGCACCTTTTAATTCTTTAATCAGTGGAGAAAATGAACCTGTTCCTGCACCCCTAGATCATATCAACATCACACCTAAGACAGGTGCTATTAGCGTCCTGTGGAACGGGTTGGTGTGATTTGTCCAAGGTCACACAACTCATTGTAGAGCTGAGATGTGAACCCAACACCTGGACTCCAGCCAGTCAAACATCTCACTTCCAAGTAGACAAGATGAGGTTCCAGGAAGAGCCATCCAAAAAGTGATCACCTTCCTGCGCTGAGTGCCAGCTTTATGCCCAGCCCTGTGCTGACCACTGAAAACCTACCCACCACACCTCACAAACTCACATCCACACAGCAGGTGTCTAGGAAGCTCATTTGGGAACCTCTATTTTCAAGATGAAAAAATGGGGCTCAGAAAGGCTAAGTGACTTGGTCAAGGTCACAGAGCAAGGTAGTTTTTGCTATTTCCTCTGAATTGATTCCCTCCTGGAGAGAGCTTGCTTAAGATTCAGTAAGTAAAGCCTACAAGTCTCAGGAAAAGTCTGAAATGTACAAGATTCACAAGCCCTCTCCTCAGCACCACATAAGCAGTCACAGGGGCTGGGGAAAGGCAAGCTATGCAGGGAACTCTAGGGATGCAGCTTTTGTGAGTTGCCACCCATGCTGGGGTGGGCTTTTCAGAGGTGCAGGTGCCCCGAGTCACCCGTGATACAGTAAGTAACCCCCACCCTTTTTCCTGGAACTAACCTCTCACCTATTGTGATGGGTACTTTGAACTGTCAACTTGACACAATCTAGAATCTCCTGGGAGGAGGATCTCAGTGAGGACTTGTCTGCATTGGGTTGCCCTGTGAGCATGCCTGGGGATTTTCTTAATTGTGTTCACTGATATGGGAAAACACAGCCCATTGCAGGCAGCACCATTCCCTAGTCTGAGAGGCTGGACTTTTTGAGAAAGCCAGCTGAGTGCCAAGCTCGTGACTGTGGATGCCATGTGACCAGTTGCTTCAAGCTCCTGCCTCTGAGACTTCCTCAGAATGACAGACTGTAACCTGGAATTTTGAACTAAATAAACCCTTTCTCCCCTAAGTTGCTTTTTTCAAGGTGTTTTATCACAGCAAGAGAAACCAAACTCGAACACCCATACTCCTACAAGTTACCCCAATGAAGTCACTGGTTCACTAAGCTACACTTGGGTGGAAATGTTCCTTGGGTCTGCCATTGGTGCTGTATCTGTGGTGAACAGACATTTGCTCACGTCTCCCCAGGAAACATCACACAGTAGTAGACCCAGTCTGCCTGGCTCTCAATCTGTGTCTGCCACTGTAACCTAATCCGAAGTTCCTTCCCTGTCCCTGTCCTTTCAATGTCTCTTGCTGGAGCACTCAGAAAGCACCAGGCATTGTGCCAGGCACCCAGGGTTCAGCAGCGAGCCAGCCTCAGGAATCTCCACCCTCCTGGAGCTGGTGCATGAATGGTGCCTGCTGCCTGTGTCTCCTGCTGCTCCAGAGCATCTCTGACACAGCTTGCTGACTCAGCCACTCTGCAGCAAGTCTTTAGTAATGGCAAACACTTAACATAGCAGGCCCTGTTCTAAGAGCTTTATGAGCATCCATTTAATCAAATACTTGCATCTGAATACAGGCAGCTACTATTATTTTTCTGGCTCTCAGGAAATGCTTTGGGCCTGTACTCTGTCCACAACTTGAATTCATCAGGTAAAAAGCTAACCCTGCTCTTCAGTCCCCTGCAACCCGAGACAGGCCCCTCCCCTTGCAGGACCTCTGTTTCTTCAGTGTTAAAGGAGAGTGGAACTACTTGTAGAAAGCTTATTTTTGCATCTGGAAATCTCACAGGGTTTCAAAATGATTTTCCATCGCTTGAACTTTTGGATTCATGTAGAAGGCATTCTTTCTCTCTCTCGTCCTCCCTCTCCCTCCCCAATGCTGTGATTACAAACACATACCATATCCAACTTTTTTACATAAGTACTGGGGGTTGACCTCAGGTCCTTATGCTTGGGCATCAAGCACTTTACCAACTGAGCCATCTCCCTAGCTACTTATCTTAAATTTTCAAAGGCCTAAATCAACTCAAATGTTTTTTGATGGTGAATGAAGAGATAGACTACAGTACATACATCCGTGGGCAGAATACTATGCAGCAATGTAAAGGAATGGGCTGTTGATAAATAAAATCATGTGGATGAATCTCAAATTCAAGGTACTAAGTGAAATAAGCCAGACTCCAAGAGTGATAGACTGTCTAACACCATTTCTATAACATTGGAATAAACACTGGAATAAACCAGACTGTAGGGACAGACAGCAAACAGCTCTTTTTTCCCAGAGCTAGGAATGGGGGAGCTTATGAAGGAGCAGAAGTTGACTTTGGAATGTGCTAGAACAGTTCTTCATTCTGACTGTGCTGATGGCTATAGGACTATATGAACTGGTCCAGACTTAACAGAACTCTGCAGGCCTTTTTGCTTATAAACAGTGCCGCAATTTTTATTAAAATGATGCCATTAACAGTCCCAAGAGCATCAGGCTGCTAAGGGACAGCATCAGACACAAAACCAGGCCTCTGGCTTGGTGGGCTTGTGTGGTGATACCTTTGAACCTGAGCAGAAGGCAGGCAGCAAGGCCAGGCCTACCAGGGGTACCTGGGAGAGGCAGCCTGGACTCCCAGGACAGGCACACACAGCCTGCCCAGGGTGACCTCCTCTCACTTCCAAGGGAAGATTTAAACTCAGAAACGTTGAATGACAGCCGGAGGTGCAGGCAGGGAAAGAGAGGCCAGGATTCCAGCTCTGTGCTCTACGCCCTGCCACCTCCACGTGCAGCTGGGTTCTGCACCTCTGCCTGTGGCCCTCAGCACATGGTTGCCTCCCATCCCAGGATTCATTGTAACAGACCCACAGAGGGTGTCTGTGTCTAACCTGTCAGCTGCTTACCAGATGCTCCCATCTGAACCCCGGTGGCCACTGAATATTTCTCTCCTCTTATTTCCCAGCTGGAAAACACAGATGCTACCCCCAAATCCCACCCATAGTGTGGCTCCCCAGCTCCTTCCTGTGACCAGCACACCAGTCTTTGCCTGCCTTTGCTTTCCTCACAGCCCACCCAGGTACAGCCCCTCTTTATCTGTCTGTCCATTCATTTATACATTCACCCTTCTACCCATTAATCTCACTCACTCAACCTTCCATCTATCCATCTGTCCATCTATCCATTCATCCATTCATCTACCCATCCATCAATCCACCCACCCACCCATCTGTCCACCTGACCATCCATCCACCCATCTATCCATCCACCCACCCACCTACCTGTCCATCTACTCATCTACCCACTTATTTTTTAAATATTTTATTTGTTATTTTTATTTTATGTGTATTAGTGTTTTGTGTGCATATGCCTAAGTGCACCTGTGTCATGCAATGACCATGGAGGTCAGAAGAGGGCATAGGATCCCCTGGAACTGGAGTTACAATTATTAGCTGACATGTGGGTGCTGGGACTTGAACCTGGGTCCTCTGTAAGAGCAGTCAGATGGCTCTTAACCTCTGAGCCATCTCTCCAGGCCCCAGAGACCTTGTTTTAAAAAGGGGGATGGGGTAGGGCTGAGGATGTAGCTCAGTTCTCTTCTACCCACTTATATATCCACCTGTACATCTACCCATCCACCCACCCACTTGTCCATCCATCCATCAACCTGTCCATTCACCCATCCATCTATCCACCCACCCACCTGTCCATCTGTCCTCCATCATCCAGGACACCATACACAGGTCCTGCAGCACCCTGGGCAACATGGCCCTGCAGAACCTGCATTTCAGTAGAGCTGACAGAGACAGAAGACACAGGACCTGACTCCAGCGCTACCCTTTTCAGCTTTAAACAAGCCACCACCTCTTATAAACTGTTTCCTCCTCTGCAGAATGGATAAAATTGTTCCTGCTCCTGAGTGCTTGGGTGATGGCAAGTATGATAATATGTCCAGAACCCCTAGAAAGCTGCACCGGAATGGGTGACGAATGGAAGCAATAAGCACCTAATGTTATCACAACAGAGTTGTGATCCCTTGCAAGATACAGCTTGGCTGGAGCTCCAGTGAGGGGCACAGGCAAGCCAGCTGGGGTAAAGGGAGGAAGGCAGCACTAAGTAGGTGGTCAGGGGGACACTGGGGGTTCCCCAGGTAGTGGGGGATGAAGGAAGGACAGGAAGATGCATCCCTTCCTGTTAGTGCCTCATCTGAGTCTTCATCCTCCCCAAGGCATGGAAGATTTCAGTTCCTTGAAGATTCAGTCAGGCCTGTGACCCAGGAGACCTGTGGGCCGGAAACTGAGTCAGAGGCAAAAAGAGACCCCATGAGCTGGGAGGGAGAAGAGGGGATAGAGAACAGCCAGAAAATTGGGTTAGATGAGGATGATAAGGGTGGAGGACCCCTCAATTGCAGGGTTCCACCTCCAAGACAGGGCAGGGCTCAGAAGCCCCCTTCCAGATGACTCATCTGGAAGTTTAGCATTTAGAGGGTCTACCATCCCTGAAACCCCTCTATCTCAGGCAAACTTGGAAAGGTGGACGTCACACCTACCTGCATCTACCAAGAGTCCTGCCCATCTAATCCAGCCCTCCCTCCCCAATATGCCCCAGCAATGGACCTGCCAGACCCCGGACTCTTACCACCTTCCAAAAGGATCCAGTAGGACCCACAATTCAGGTCTTTCCACTGAGTCCCTTGCATTCCAGGGGACAGGAGTGGCTTCCTGGCCTCTAAGCATGGGCTCTGCCCAAGCTGTCAGAGGTGACAGAGGCAGCCCTCATTTCCCAAGCATACTAATCCTTCCCTGCCCTCTGCCAAGGGGATTAGCTCCTGGCAGATGAATCAGAGAGTCCTGGATACCCCATGTGACCTCAGCTGCCACAGGCTAGGGGTGACAGAGGACAGCCACCACGGTCTGACCTGTAGGCCTCCAGGACTCTGCCCCAACCCCACATCATCTCACCAGTCACCTCTGAGGAGCAGGGGGGATTCAGGAGCTCCTTTGTGTGATCTGAGTAAAGGGCACTCCCCTGGGGTCTGGTTGAGCACCAGGGTGCTTGTAAAGGACCTGGCACCTAGGGAGGACTTGGCCAAAGTGACTGGACTTTGATTCCAAACTCTCCACCTGGTAGCCCTGTGCCAGATGTTAGACCTTTCTCAGTGGACATTCTTGGAATGTCAGAGGACAACTTGCAGGAATCAGTTTTCTCTTTCTACTACGTGGGTCCCGGGATCCAGCTCAGGTCTGCAGGTTTGGCCTACATGCACTCTACCAGCTGAACTAGCTCATGGCCCCGTCTGTGTCTTTGATCCTCATAGCAATTGCACAAAACAGTTCTATTCTATTTTTCATGCAAAGAAGCTGATACTCAGAGTGTATGAAGCCTTCAGGGAGTGGCCTGACTAGGAACCTGCTGGGCCGCCTTTTTTTTTGTCACATCAAACTATGAGGTCCTCCAGGGCCAGGACTGCCCATCAAAGCTAGCGCTAAGGATGAGTCGGTTAATCCACTCCAAGGGCCTGCAAACCCTCCCCTTCGGGACACCCACCAGCCTCCTGTGGACTCCTTTAACACTTGACCCTGCTCTGGGCAGCTGCAATCCGGAGTTCCAAATTCATCCAGATGAGAATCCACAACATGTCGTACAGCAAGATGACCACTAGGTGGCAGAAGATACACGCGTGTAAAATCTCGGTCCACATTTGTTCCTCTTTTAAAAAGAGGATAATTCTTTTATTTAAAGAAAAGAGTAAAAACTTTATTACTCAGAAATACAAAGAAGGAAAATTCAAGAAGACTCTTTTAGTATCTCTTACCAAAAAGGAATTAAATACGGTGACTGTAGTATGACAATATATACGGATTTTAATGTCATATATTAGCGTAGATGAACAGCACTCATGGTAGAACATTTAGTGAATAGTTCATTATTACAGTTGAAATTGTTTTAATTCATTAGCATCAGTCACTGCAGTATATGCACCCATAAAAATGTCTTCCAGAGCATCCATGGGGGATTGGAAGGTTCAGAAAGAACATCACAGAGCCAAGGCAGTGAATTGAGACTTTGAAGCTTTGGGCTGTAATTTAGATTTGTGCAAAGCAGTCCTTTGGTGCCTGTTGTCTGATTCAAAGGGTAGTTATTATTAGCCTTCTTAGGCCAAATGGAATAAAAACTTTGTAAGCAAATGGTCCAGCTTGCATTCCTATACTTACATCCTTTAAAACATGTGTTTTCTCCTCTAAGTGTTAGTAGCATTAAAAATGTAGGAAACAGCATATTTTAAAATGAAATGGAGATTTTATTTTATTTATTATTTTTATTTTATGTGTATGGGTGTATTGCCTGCACTTAGGTAAGTGCACCCGTGTTGTGCAATGCCCATGCCATGGAGGACAGAAGAGGCTGTCCGGTCCCCTGGAACTGGAGTTACAGACAGTTGTTAGCTGCCATGTGGGTGCTGGGATTCAAACCCTGGTCTTCTGCAAGAACAGCCAGTGTTCTCAACCACTGAGATATCTCTCCAGCCCCCAGAGATCTTCTTTAAAGGGTAAAAACTCATTCAATTTTATGTCTTACAGGGTTTATACTGAGTTCAATATTGTATAACTGCATTGATTCAACTGTGAACCTAAAAATTTACAGCCATTTTTGAAAGAGATGTATTCTTGCTCTGGAATGTGTCCCTAAATATGTTAAAGCTGTAATGAAATGCTTCTTCTAATCATGTGGTTATTAAATTAAAAAAATTTAAGCCAGTGCGATGGCGTATACCTTTAATCCCAGCACTTGGGAGGCAGAGGCAGGCAGATCTCTGTGAGTTTGAGGCCAGTCTGGTCTACATAGTGAGTTCCAGGCCACCTGGGGCTACAGGGAGACCCTGTCTCAAAAAAACACCAAAAAAAATTTTTTTTAAAGACGTGTTTTCTTTTGTTTGTTTGTTTGTTTGTTTGTTTAATAGCCTGAAAGAGAGGAATCAGTCATCCTGTCTCTAGATCTCATATCATCCTAGTTATTTCCTGATCTTCAGGGAAAATTAAGGGCTTTATTCGCACAGCCTAGACTCCAGCCACTGGAAGGAGCCTTGGGTCAGATCCCAGCTCCATCACTTAGAACCTTCATGACTCAGTCATATTCCTTGTCTTTTCTTGGGCCTCATCTGTGAATGGGTTAATGAAGAAGCTTCCCAACTGTTCTGGGAGTGAAAGTTACATGACCGTTCATTTTATGTGCCTCCCCTTTCAGAGGGAACATAATTGTCTCACTCTCAGCAACAGGACTGTTTTCTGGGCTTGTTTTTTATAAAATCTAATTTTTTATAAAATTTAATTAATTAATTTTGGGCAGGGTGTACGCAGGCATGCATGTGGAGGTCAGAGGACAACTTTCAGGAGCTGTTTCTGTTCTTCCACCATGTGGATTCTGCTGATTGAACTCAAGTTGTCAGGCTTGGTAGCAAGTGTTTTTACCTGCTGAACCATCTCACCAGGCCAAGACATTGTTGTTGTTTTTTTTTAAAAAAGAATATGGCTGAAAAGATATAAAAAAAATTAAACTTTGAGGCAAGTTTAATGGTATAGGTTTGTAATCCCAGCTACTTGGGAGGCTGAGGCAGGAGCAAATGTTTAAGGCCTGCCTAGACTACTAAACAAGTTCCAGGCCAGTCTGGGCAATTTGTTGCCTGTCTCAAAATGCAGGGGCTGGGGAGGTGGCTCAGTGGGTAAAGTGCTGGCAGGTGGCCAAGCATAAGGACCTGAGTTCAAATCCTACCACCCATGTTTTTTTTAAAAAGCTCAACCCTATAATCCCAGGACCGGGAGGCAGACAGGAGGATCCTGGACAGGGAGAGGCAAATTGGTGAACTACTGGTTCAACTGAAAAAGACACCCAATGTCAAGCTCTGGCCTTCACATATGTATACACAGGCAGGCACACACAGGCATTCACATGCAGGCTAGCGTGTATGGCTCATATATACATGCAAAAGGGTTGGGAAAGTCCTGGGGGTATAGCTCAGTGGTAGGGCACTTGCCTAGCATGTAGGAGGCCCTGGATATTTAAAGGAAAAGGCCTCTCTCATAAGATATGTGATGTTAAAAAGTCTAGCTTTGACTGGCATTGATTCATCATCAGCCACTGATGAGTTAAGTCCCTGAGCCTACTTAACACATACTTATCAGGTACCTGCAGTTTGTCAGAAGTCACACCTGGGGCTGAAGAGGACACGGTGGCCAAGCAGACTCAGCTGCGGATGGCACCTGCTCAGGGCTGGATGCTGCAAAAATACTCTTCAACAACTTGAAGATCCTTGGCCTCCACTATCTTATCATCCAGCAGGGCAGCTTAGGACCGGAATCGAATGTGTGTCAAGGTGTGGGGGCGCTGGAGATGACTGAGCTGAAAACAAAAAAAAAAAACCAAGTTCAGGCCCCAGAACCCATATAAAAAACTGGGTACATGGGCCTGGAGAGATGGCTCAGTGGTTAAAAACAATGGCTGTTCTTGCAGAGGACCCAGGTTTGGTTCCCAGCACCCACATGGTGGCTAACAGCCATCTGTAACTCCAACTTCAGGGGAAATAGACACTCTCCTCTGACCTCCATGGGCTTTGCACAATACAGGTGCACTTACATACATGCAGGCAATACACTCATATGCATAAAATAAAAATAACAAAAATTTTGTTTAAATAATAAAGAAAGAAATAAAACCAAAAAAATGCTAAGCAAAGCTGGGTGCAGTGGTACATACATGTAATCCCAGCACTGGGGAGGCAGAGGCAGGCTAATCCCTGGGGCTCACTGGGTGGCCAGTGAGGAGACCCTGTTTGAAAAACCAAGGTGAATGGCACCTGAGGAACAACACTCAACATTGACCTCCGACCTTCACACACTACACATGTATACCTGTGCACATGTGCACACACATGCACGAAGGGCTGCTGAGCTGACTCAGTGGGTGAAAGCACCTGTTGCTAAGTTTGACAACCTGAGTTCAAGCCCTAGAACCCACATGGTGGAAGAAGGGAACTATCAAAAGTTTTCTCTGACTTCCATTTGTACACTGGTATGAACACACACACACCCCACACACAGATAAATAAATGTAATCCAAAAAAAATTTTTTAAGTGACACATGGGGCTGGAGGGATGGCTCAGTGGTCCAGAGCACTTGCTGTTCTTTCAAAGAACCCAGGTTCAATTCCCAGCACTCACATGATGGTTCACAACTGCCTGTAACTCCAGTTCTAGGGGACGTGATGCCCTCTTCTGGCCTCTGAAGGTACTGCACACACACGATATACATAAATTGATGCAGGCACACCTACACATAAATAGATAAATAATAAAAGAAAGTGATGTATGCCATAGAAAGATACATAGAACTAGTATAGAGGCAGAATATAAATTGGCTGATGGACCCATCACCTAAATTAAGCAATGGAGTCATCTGTACACACAGCAGAGGAAGTGTTTGTGGAGGGGAAACTGCTGATGTCGGGGCCTTAGGGTGAGAATGCTTCATGAGTTCAAGGACAGGCAAGAAGAGCAGTGA